GGAATGGAGGGAGGCTGCCTCATCAGCTGCTGGGACTAGGCAATGATGTCTCTTCTCTCCCCCAGAATCCAAAGTGATGGCAGTTGGAATGGAGGGAGGCTGCCTCACCAGCTGCTGGGACTAGGCAATGATGGCTCTTCTCTCCCCTTCCCTGTGTGGTGTGTGCAGCCGCATGGGGACCACAAAAGTCTCAACTCCAAATCTTGTCCTAAAGCCATTTTGAAATGGATCTAGATAATTGGTTTCCTCCAGCTTACAGTTGAAAAGCAACCACTATCTCGATCACTTTGGCCTATAGTTGTTCATATCCAGGGGGTCCAAGGAAGGATTTTTCAGAAGTGGCCTAACTACCTCTTCCTTCAAACAAGATGGAACATGGCCTTCCTTGAGAGATGCATTTATGATGTCTCGTAGGAACCTCCTCAAGACATCCTCCCAGATGGCCAGCCAATATAGGCAAGGATCAAGTGCAGGTTGTTTTCCTCACTCTACCAAGGAGCTTGTCCACATCATCGGTACTCACAGTTTGAAACTGATCCAGTATAATTTCATTAATGGAGTTGCTGGACACCTCATCAATTGATTCTGTTACAACACTGGCATCTAAGTCTGCTCTTATATGAGAGATTTTATCTGCAAAGAAGTTGTTAAATGCATCACATATTGCACTGGAACGGTGTATTGTTCCTTGATAGGCTTTTCTAACTTCTGATGTGTGTAGGTGAATCACATCACCTAAGATAGCCAACGTGACCCCCCCCCTTGCTTGGAGTACATGGTGTCTACAATTTAGGGTCATGCAGAGGTGAATCTCATCCTATTTCTTGATATTAAATGGGAGACAGCCAGATACCATAATAGTATATTGTTTGTTTTGCCCAACTATCCCCTCATTTCTTGGCACAAATATAATGGCTTCCCAGTATAGACCAACAATACTGAATAAGAGCAAATGTTCAACCTCAAGAGATTCTCTTTTTATAGAGACACTTTACTTTCAACTTCCTAAAAACAATATGGCCTTATTTCTTGTCACCATCCTGGCAATCTTTCCATTACCAACTATATTTATCTTCTCATTTCACCCTTCATTGTGTGTTACAGAGATAGACTCAAAGTCCAAGCAGTTGGTCAATAAATCCTCAACTTCAGCCCATGCTAGAATTAATTTCATCCAACTTGCCAAAGTGCCCAGGTATATTTTTTTAGTTACCGTACAAGGAGGATTGAATATCCTGTTGGCACACATTCAAAAATTACAAATATAGAGAAGAGGGGGAAAAGAAAGGTAAGGGGGACTAAAGAAAAAGGAGTACAGGGGGAAGTATGCAGAATTTAGTAACAGTCTGTTTGTTTCAAAACTCTTTAGTTTATCATTTCTTCTCCCATACAAATTTCCCATATAGATTTCACACAGAAATCAAGGGACAAGGTACTCCTAGCTCCCTCAGGAAGGTTAATACATCAGTTTCTCTTTTAGGAAATACATTTAAAACCAAGCACATTTAAAAGTATCTAGGATACTGTGGTGGGTCTCCTTTCCAGGTAAGTGCTGCTTAGCTTCTAAGACAGAATGGCTCAGTGGTTTGAGTGTTGGTCTACAACTCTGGAGACTAGGGTTCTATTTCTTGCTTAGCCACGGAAACCCACTGGGTGATTTTGGGTGAGTTAAGCACTCTCAACCCCAGAAAATCCCACTTTAGGGTTGCATAAGTCAGAAGCTACTTTGAAGGCATACAATAACAGTTTCTAAGACTAGATAGCATGTAGTTTAATTGGCTAGTATAACCATAGTGAATAATATGATTATACATTCCAAGAGTGGTATCTACTTAGTATTGCATGGTATGTGTTAAATCTGTTTTCTACCAGTCTTTAGCCAAATGTATTTAAGAATGCACCG